AATTTAATCGTTACTTTAGCCTACAGATAAGTGTATAAAGCTGCGAAAGTTGGGATTAAATTTTATAAATTTGTGATTTTGGTTTTAATTCTTGTTTCATTACTTTTTATAGCAGGACCCCTACTTTATATCAAAATTCATAATTTTACAGTACTTGTGTCTGTTTACTTTTTATGTTAAACCTATATAAAGTATATACTTTACCTTTAGAAACCGTCGCATGTCTGTCAATCAATATGTAGCGCTATCCGTTGGGTTGAAATGATATTCAAGTACGCGCATGATATGTTTACCATTTATATAGATAGATAGATTTTTAACGGAATATCAAAAGCGAATACCCACACACCACTCCAGTATGCTGGAGAAATCTTGTAGCAATAGCCCAAGCCGTCTAGGCACTAGCTCCGCTGACATGATCAGGTAGGTAGTAGATGAAAAAGTTGCTATTTTAGAAATTTTTGAATTGTTATACCGGAAATGTTAGCAACCTTTTTAGCGTATTATTAGTATATGTGCACATAATATATCGCAACCAATACTTTCAATGGTCGTTTTTTTTTTTGCTCAGAAATTCGATAGGGTGGTTTTTCGGCTCATGAATTATTTGGAATCCTTGTCGATCCCTAATATTAAGTACTACCGTACTTAAAATACAAAATTATGATGTGACGCTCCTTGGAAATGCGCCTGTCTGATTTTAAAGTATAGCACAGTTTTAGAAACTTTCGCGCCACTTAATTAAAACGCATTTCTTTGAAACATAAATCAATGGTTAGATCATTATTGATTGCGTCGCATATAGCTTAAATGATTGACAAGTTTTGCTAGTGATAGATTAAAAGCTAAAATTTATTTGCAATATTCCATGAAAATTCTGCATAATATTATTTGAGTAGATCGTGTTATTTAAATCCTATAAGTAGTGCTGCCATTACTGTAGATATATACGTGCTTAAACTTAAAAGGGCTATGTGCTCAATAGGTTATTTCTAGGCCTACGTTCTGCATATAATATGTATAGGCCTAATTCATGATACTTGCTATATTATAAAAATTAAACCTATTTTTCTATAATTTATTATGTTAAAAACTGAAACAGGTAAAATCCCAATTATTGAATGATCAATACTTTACATTTATATCACATTAGAGATACAAGATGCCAGATTTTCATAAAAATGAACTGACAGGGGGTGATTTACATTTCATTATACAGTAATTTTTGCCTTGTTACAGCCAAAATATTATAAATTCCAGTTATCATTTTAATTGTACTGTGTGTTGTAGTTACATGAGTGGTCACGTATATATATAGATAGGTACATACAAGGCTTGAACTTTACAGAAATCTATGCTAGTAAATATCTGGTTAGTGTAGCAGTTTTGCTAGTAAAACATACAAGGCACTAGAAAACAATTACTGATATTCATTTCAGAAGGAAAATTTTCAGATTTTTTTAATCAATACACCTCTGATACATGCATTTTAGTAATTTATATTTGCAAGATTCTGAATACAGGAGGTTACCATAATTGTGATTAACAAGCCTGTTTTACTTGAGCTCTATAGTATACCCAGAATAACTATCAAGAAACGGTGATAGCAAGACTATAGATTCAACTCATTTGATTGGTTGCCAAGACAATTAGCACATTGTCCAGCCAGCTGAAGTATTTCCATCTGATTTGTGTAATGCAGTGTTGCTGACAGTATGGTCATAAATATGGTGCCCAAGTTGTTGCTCATTAAAAGTGGTAATAAAATATACATCATGTAAATTGCAGGGTTTTTTTTCCACATTCCTCATAATTTGTCCATTATTAACACAAACGTTAGGCCTACTGACTTTCAATGCTTTTTTTTCATCTTTTGTGATTTAAACATAATTTTTAATAATAAAATACTTTTTTTATGTAGCAGTGGGGTACTGTATATTTAGCCAATCCAAGCACTTGTGGCCTAGATACACCAGTTTCCATCCAAATTGAGTATCTTTTAACTTTTGTGAAACAACTAAGATGAAAATACTTTTCGATGTAAATAAGTTGAGTTTGTTGTTCAAAAATACTTGAAACAAAAACATCACAGATGACTTAAATATATAAATGAGATATATACATATTTATTAATATTAAATAATTATGATACTGTTACAGTTAATTTTAGAGAATAATCATGTTTTTGATAGTAGCAGTCCCAGATTTCATAGTAAGAAAAACAACAACTAGAAAACATTTACTAGTGCCTTAAGTACAGTCAGTAAGAAAGTATGTATGAATGTGTATTTTCTGTACAGAAGATACAAAAATCCTGCTAGGTTTGAATTTCTTAGATACAAATATAATAAATTATGTACAATATTTTCTAGAGACTAATATGACCTCCAAATACAAAAGTTTGTTAATATAAAAATTGGTTATCATACTTTTATTATTTCAGATAAAACAAGAATCTGGCTTACACTTCTGAAAGAAAAGATCATGGAAGAACTAAATTTTTTTGACAAGTAGGTTAATTGTCAATAATACATTACACAGTTTTCATTGTTGTAAAGACAGTTCATGTATGGTTAATATAAAATTCAAGAGTTGAAAAGAGAAAGTAATAATCAAGGGAACCTTAGAGCAAGGTTTTGGTCTGGCAGATTAATGTTGTCATCACATTTAAACGAAATGGCTGTAAAATACATACACATGATCTGTTTCAGTGCACATGACCATGAAATAAGTAGAAAAGCTTTCCCATTAGCAAGTGCGAAATAAGCATTCTTATAATGTATATATATATATTTATATGTATGTGTATAGAACAGAGCAATTAAAAATATTTCACAGCCCTGACATTACTTTTAGAATCTTAAATATTTTTTTAGATGTGAATGCAATACATACAACTTGCTGCAGATTGTGAATGGTAGTAGGTGTTGGGACATTGTGGGTTACAGCACCTAACCTTAATTGATCTATTGAGGCAATAATCTCATTATTCGTTTTCTATGGATTAGGTCTGGTAGACAGAATATCCTCAATGCTTTTGGATGCTATCATTGAAAACATTTTCCTTTAAAAATCACACTTTTTTTGCATTTTACTGACAAATGGTATGATTTTTAACTTTTTTATTTATATAGTTAGTTATTCATGAAACTTTAATCTGATTAAATAGTAGGCTTTAGTTTTGAATTTCACACCAGACATGTCACTTTGGTTTATATACAAATTTTCATTATTGTTATATAGCTATCCCTGATTTTAAAGCAACAGATTAGTGAATGCAGTTAGTCAACACCGCCCCCCAGAGGCACAGCGGTATGTCTGCGGACTTAAAACGTTAGGAACCGGGTTTTGGGACCCGTGGTGGGCAGAGCACAAATAGCCCATTGTGTAGCTTTGTGCTTAACTTCAAACAAACAAACAACAGTCAACACCCACTGTCAACTCTTGGGGTACTCTTTTTACCAACGAATAGTGAGATTTAAAGTGATATTATATCGCTTCCATGGCTGAAATGGCGAGAATATCAGGCAACGGGTTTCGATTCCACTACCTGCAAATTTCGAGTGGAGTGTCTTAACCATAAGATCCGCTATGCAAAAAGAGAGTACTCACCAGTCAATGCTTTCTATGAAAGTATAAAAAATGTATGTAAGTATATGTATATTATATGTAAGTATAAATAATTAAAGCAACACGTGGGAATGAATAGTATTTACACCTGAAATAAACAAATTGTGTAAATCCAGTGCAAAGTTTATTTGATATGCTTTAACACACTAATTTCAAACACAAAAACGAGATGGCGCCACATTACTATAT